GAGAGAGAGAGAGAGGAGGAGAAGAAAGAGACAGAGTTTCAAAGCTCTCACAAATGACAGATTGAAGTATTCTAATCACATTATATCACTGGAAAAGGGCTTTTTAAGTGCTCAATTAAAAGGGCCTTGATAATTTCTCTTTCTTTCATTTTCTTTTTAGTCACCGAACAGGCTGTGAAGGACAAATTCTATTAGGGACAGAGTTAGCTCATTTCCAATACATTTGAAAGTGGTGAAATTTAATTTGCCGCGTGATACGCCGCCCACCCGCCCGCTTCTTTTTTTTCCTCTCTCCCCTCTCTCTCTCACCCCACCGTCATCTTGCCACTCTTGGTTCCGGTTTGTGTATCGCTTATTTGCAGTAGATTAATGTGAGGTAGGCAAGGTGTTGGCGAGTTCACGAATCAATGTTTATTAAAGGTTTCTTTAAGTGTTTAATGATTTAGTCATTAACATATTGATGAACTTTTACAACTTGCCCAGGGAGAAGGAACACGATCTGGAGAGACGCTTTGAGCTGCTGAACCGAGAATTGAGGGCAATGCTGGCGATTGAAGGTAAGAGGGACCGAATGAGGGATTTGGGGGGTGAATTTGAGAGGTGCTCTGTGAAAGACAAAGATCCTCTCCTGCTTAATTAAACATGCTGTTTGACACCTCTGATGAGGCTCTGCCCACTGTGGCCTGATCCATAAACACCGCCTGCCTTTTAAACACACACACATTCACCCAGAGCATTCTACACCATATATATGTGTAGCTCTCAAAAATGGCAAGCATTGCAGCCACAAGTGCGGATGTCACATCCACATCAATATTGAATCTCTATGATGTGCCCCGGGGCTCCTGCAGACGTGCTTGCGTTTCTAAGAGTTTTGAGTGTGTGTTATACAGACAGCTAAAAAAAAAATAATAAAGCCTATTGTGCGGTATCAAAGTTGTCTGGTTAAGTTTAATCCCTTTGACTGTGTCCTCTTTCGCAAAATGAACCTTTTACAATCAATGCAAATTGATTTTACAATTCGATGGTGACCCTCTCACCCCTTGGCTAGCCATGGTAATTTCTTTCTGCACCTGATAAGCGGGCTGATCCATCATAAATCAATTCTAATTAGTTGGGAGAGGTTGACAGCGGACATGAATAGCCAAGCAGAGAGAGAGAGGGAGAGAGAGAGCGTATGGTGACGCTTTCTCACCTCAGGCAGATCATCTCTATATTTTGGCACGCTTCTGTCTTGTTTCTCAAAGATTCCTGCACAGCGAGAGCCGGCGTGATACTGAACGCAAAATGCAGGAGGCGATAACAAGAACTTAAGCTAATAACGTTGAGATGCTGAAGTGCCTCGGCCTTGTGTCCACTTATCAGTGAACACGGAGCGAGTTCCAAGTGTTGGTGCGAGGGTGACGAGGTCCGTCCGCGGCTGCGGTAATTCAGTCCCTGCTGCTTGTAACAAGCCTATCAGTGCACACACTGCTACCTGTTGAATTATCACTCGCAGTTATTTTCTCTCTCTCTCTCTCTCTCTCTCTCTCTCATACACACACTTTATCTCTCTCTCGCTCGCTTTTTCTCCCATGAGGCTCGGCACTTGGCATTCAGAGTCAGGCTGTTTCTGAAGCGAGTCAGAGATAGTTCTGAGCTGCTGGTGAGGAGCTTCGTGCATCACTTTCTTATTTGGAGCCCCGACGGGCTCTCGCGCCCAGCCAATGCAGACAGGTAATTGCTGATTTGCTTGGTCAGCTGATGACATTGGAAGTGTAGCGGCTGAGGCGTTCAGACAGGCACACACACTTTCTCTGGTATCAGCACACACTCTCTTGCTGATAGAGAAAAATACTCTTCACCCTCCTCGACCCCACGACCGCGCGGAGGAGAATCCACAGCCTGTGTGACCCGGAGATGAGGAATATTAAACACTCGTAGAGATGTCACTGACACCACTGGGTAGCTTTTACAGTATTTTATGAGACTTTTTTTAAAGGAAGTGTCAAAAAGGATTAGATGTCTGCATTTCGAGGTATACTTGGGTGTTTTATTTTCATGCTAAATGCTAAAGTCATTGAAGTATCAGGATGAAGTTTTTTATTTGTGGCAGAGTTATGTATCATAGTTGTGGAACTTAGAGCGCAGCAGATCAGAGAGTACAACAGATCATTTTTTCACAAGCCTAGTTGCTGAAAAAAATAAAGGAAAAACTCCACGATGGTGTTAACAAGACTTTCAGAAAAAGGAAGAAAATAGTGTGAGATGGCTGTAGTGTACTCTCAGCCTTATAGACGCTGCATTAGTAACTCCTCGCACAATTGGTCATTTGTTTTTTTGTAATTTGATGGAAAAATGATATCACACATTCATAAATTCATATACATGTTCATAAGTTTTTTTAAGAATGTAAATATTAAAACTTTGAAGGATTTAAGACTATGATGATTGTTAAACGCATCAAAGCAGTCTGGTGAAAAGGGTCCATTTTTACTTCTGGTGAAAGTCTTTATTTAGTTTGGCTTAAATGAAAGCAGTTTTAACATTTAAACAAAAGCAAACAAACATTTTGAGGGTCACTTTTATTAGCCCTCTATAATATTTTTTCAATGGGCTACAGAACAAATCACTAGCCATTAGTCATCTAATGGATTGCCTAATTACCTTAACTTATTTTTACTGCTTTACACTACAGCTGTGCCATCTCTACAGCATCATGGGTAATGGTGTTTTTCTGTATGATGAATTCTGCTAATGCACACAATTGTTTTGAGTCAAATTAATGTGAACAAATGACTTCAACAAAACCATATACAATCTGTTAATAACATCAGATCTATCAGCAAGTCTGTCTTTTATGGATGTTGGTTTCTGCCACTGAATAAAAAACACAATAAAAATTTTAACTTTTAACCTCACAATTACATAGCAGCTATAACTGATTTATATAAACTAGGCATGGGCCGGTATAAGATTCTGACGATATGATAACCTCTAAAATATGCTCTTTTTAATTGTCTAGGTAAAAACCACAACAACGTTTCCCCTTTGAACACAATAGGTTTTATTTTGTGAAACATTTATAATATTTGTAGCAGTAAACATGTCCGGCTAAATCATTCAAATGATTCATTGACTTCTGCTGTCTTCATTAGTTTATAAAACACTGATTTAATTACAATTTAAAACGACATCATTGGAGATCTTTTCTGCTAGAGATACAGGTTGTCCTAAAAAACTAAAAAATCTTACACATACCCTAGGAACGGTATAACAGAAAATTTGGGTGTTTTTAAAACATTGACTTTTCCATACCGTGGTATTGACCTTATTCTTCAATGCGGAAGTGGGCTCGTTTTTGTGAATATTTTAGAACTTCCGATTCAGTTGCCTATAAGAGAGATGACTAAGAATAATAAACAGCAAAAAACAGTCAAATTACTTGCTTTACAAACAAGTATGCTCATAACTATACATAAAAAGTAGAATAATATAATAAGAAAATATCAGTTTGCAACATCAGGCAGTGTAACAAGCTGTTTTTAACCTCTAAAAATGAATGGAAGTCAACGAGACCAGAAATCTCAAGCCAAAAAAAATCAAATGGCTGCGCCCACTCATACGTGAAGAATGAAGTCAATACCTTGAAAACGGTTATGGTCCCATGCCTGATATAACACACAATTAACTTTTTACTTTTTTGTTTGTTTTTTTTACCACAATAGATTCATCGGATACTGTTAAAATCGATTTTCTTATGGAGAAAATGAATAGTTTTTATTCCGAAAGCAATTTAGTGCTCACTATTGCAATTTAGTAATTTGATCTTCCTGTCATTCCACTTCAACTTCCTGTGGAGTGTGCCCAATTCCATTCAAATTGACACTTTTGAGTTTTGAAAGAGAGCCAGTTATTCAAATCTGACATTTTCCAGCCTTGACTAGCCTTACATATGGAGTAACCTTTGTCAGGTTGTTCTTGTTTGTCTTCTTATTAATATATATATATATTAATACGGCAGCAGATGACATTACTTACAGAGGTAAATTGAAGAACACTTGTTGTGTTGCGCATTAATAGATCTGAAGCCCCTGGATAAGGCAAAGAAAATATTTAGTCAATTCTAAAGGCGAGATGGATTCAGTTAAAGGTGTAGAGCAAACAGGGTGAGTGTTAATGTCAGCTAAACGATAACCCCTTCAGTCTGTGCTCCGCTGTGGGGAGGCAAAGAAAAGTGGCGAGGCCTTCCACAATATGCCATGACTCCTATTTCTCTGCCTCCAAATTGATCCTTTTTGCCCTTTTTATCTGCCTGCCATGCACACACGCTTTCTCTCAAATTCGTCTTTTTCCCCCTCCCCTCTCCCTATTTCTTTCTTTCCTCAAATGCGCTGCACTCCGGGGCGTTATATTTGAAAGTGGACGCTCCTTTTTGCCAAGGGATTTCTGCATAGGTCCCCCAGTTTTGTTGTTACGGTTTTATATGATAAGCTTTTTTATATGTTTAAAATCAATATGTAATCCTGTGCAAGGGCTTATCCCCCTACAACCCCATTTGTAAATCTATTTGAGCTTTGTTACATGTCTGGGCTGCCGTATTCCTCAGATTGATTGGGTGCAGTGTGAGAATCCTATCAAATGGCCGGCTTTGATGATGTTGCAAACTCTTTCAAGATTGCTAGTTGACTGGAACTGGAGATAAGGCGAGACGACACTTTCTCATTCTCCACTATTCACCCAAATCTGTGTTCATTTCCATTTAGCCCTCGCTTGCTGCATTTGACTCTCAATGTGCACTTTTGTACAAGGCCCCCTAATAGACGATGTTTGTGTTTGTTTAGGAAATAACACCAGAGATTTTTTTGTTGTTGTTATACTTTTAAGTGTTTCATTTAATTTGGGTGATCATAATATTCTTTAGTTGATCTTACAGATCATTGTCTGAACTTTAAACTTTGCTTGTTCTGAAACTAAGCAAGTTCTATTCACATGCATGCAAATATACACGGGATGCAGAGTAGCCATTCAGACACTTTGTGTTTATTTATTTATTTGATGAAGTCACTTTAATTCTCATGTATTTTTAGGGTAAGAATCCGGGGACTGTTGTCCCGTCACCCTCCTTGTCCATGTTGGTCTTTGTCTGGTTCCCAGCTGGCCTCTCTCCAGCTCCATCTTATGCTGGCGCTCTCAGCCTGCCCACTGCTCACCCAAATCTGCTGTAATAAGAGCATGCATTTTCCCTGGATTCCTCCAACACTACTTATTTCCTGTTATTTCGTCCTCCAAAATAAGTTCAAACCCACTCCGCTGGCTCCAAAAGTTGTGTCCGCATGTGTGTGAAGTTTGTGTTTGGTGATCTTTCAGAAGAAGCTCAGCTCTGTGCCTCCTGAAGCTGCCGAGCAGGTTGCACTCTTGAATAAATTTTGCTGTGGAGGAGGGTCATGGGGATTTGAACCAGCGCATTCTTCTGTGGGTTGTGAGTGCTCACATGGTTACCATTGGTGTGCATTGTTAGGGTTATCTGAATAAGCACCGACCATGTGAGTTTTAACGTGATTGCCCAGGGCGATGAGAGAGAGAAAAAGAGGGGAGTAATCCAAAAGGGATTGAACCCCCCCTTCCCACCCAACACCACCACCACCACCAACTCCAAATAGTCCGTCCGTCTCTTCTCGGAGGAAAAGAGAGGAGGCAGCAGCTTCCGTTAGTGTTTTTTTGGCAAGTTGCGCTCAGTGGTTTGCTCTGCCCTGTCCCTCTGCGTCCATATTCATTGTTTACCTTCTTAATGAGGGGGGCGGCGCCGCTCGGCTTGATTGACAGCTGCATGCGGCCTCTGCCGGAGGTGCAGGGGAGGATCTGTGGCTTTTTGGCTGAGAACGCTGAAGGGGAACAGGAGGAGGAGGTAAAAAGTCCAGGGGCTTTTTCTCTCGCCCTCTACCTCTTTGGGACATGCAGGAGAAGTTTTTGTTGGTCACAGTCTACCCTCCAGGCAGGGCTTTGTGAAGTGGGCATTGTGGTTCTTGACGGAGGGGTTGCAGAAACGACAGAGCGAATTATAGAGGAGGCTCGTGAATGACATGCAACGTATAGAGAACTGTGCAGGATAAACAGGCCGGCCTGTAGGATGATAAGAATTCAGTGTGTGAATATAGGAGAATACACCACTGCTTTCCACAACTGCTTTCATTTACAAATAGCTTAATTGCGCTTCTTCTTTCACATGACTTTTTTTCCAGCTTCTGCTGCAAATTTGTTAAAGCTGAGACAAATCCTCTCAAATATTTAGCATTAGCCTCTCTGTCAGAACACCAAAGACTTTCATTTAGCTGCTGGGGGCCAAATAACTCTCAAATATTGGAAGTGTGTTGGTTTTGCTTGACTTCAAAGGCACAGAGGTTAAGCGAGAGTGAGGAGCAGACCTTTCGAGACCCACCGCACACAGACGCAGCAGAAGTCTGTAGCTTTAATGAAGCGCTCTTGTTTTTAAGATTGACTTTTTGGTGCGTTTATCTTTCTGGACAAAATTGGTCACTCTTTAACAAGTTTGTGTGTGCATGAGGGAGCACTAATAAAGCAGTGTAAAGACACTGGTATGGTCTGTTCGTACAACAGGCTGAAGAATAGGCCTGGTAAGATAACTTCCCCTTGGCTGTGAGCAGGGCCTTAATCTGCACTGGTATCAGTAAGGCCTGATCTCGTCTGCATGGCTGATATTTCAGACCTGCTGTTGGCAGAGGGACAGGAGCAGGTCACCTCACAGAGGCCTTCGCTATAGTCACACACCTTTTATACGCACTTTATATCATTTGTTTGAAAAAGTCTTTTGCTTTGAGATTATGGGACTCCATGTTTACTGAAGTGGACCAATCTCAGTTTTGTCTGTTTAGTGCGTCTCTTTGGGAGGCGTCTGAAAGCAGTTAGTGTACTTCTTGTACTGTCCTCATATTCACTGGCGTTATCAGATCCTTTTAGTCTGAATTCCTCCATGTGGCTGCCCTCCATACTGGAGCCCTGATACAACTTCACAATCACTCCACAAGAGTACGGGCTGAGCTGCCTTTGCTGAATATTGTTTTATCACAGGATAGTCCTGTCTTTAATCCTCTGCTGCTGTTCAGTCATTTTTATCAAAATGTTTAGCTTCTGTTTTATGAAGATATTACAAACTCAACATTCAGGTTTTCATGCATGCCATGTGAAAAACCTAAACATGAATTAAATGGTTCTGACAAAATCCACAACAATGACCACACTGGAAACAAACTGGAAAGTCATTTTACCTTTGAACAATACGTCACTTTCAGCTCAGGCCTCAATTACTTTTAATCCAGGGGAAATGTTTGGTTTCACCCAATCAAAATCTTGTAAACTCATTATATATATGATAAAATAAAAATATTTACAAAATATACAATTTCATAACAATAAACAAACATTCTTAACTAATGAAGGATTCTGAGCAAAAATTTCATTTGGGTGTCTTTTCGAGAGAGTTGAAAGATACATTTTAAAGTTTAAAAAGTGTCTAACAGGCAAAAATAGATTATAAATACTGCACAAATATTTTTTTTAGAACCATTATTGCTTTGAACATTAGCTTTCAGCTCAGGCTTCAATAATTTAATAAGAGAAATGTTTAGTATCACCCAATCAAAATATTGTACACTCAATATATATAAATACATTTTTTTTTTTAAGTTTTTTTTTTTCATAACAATAAACACTTTTTTTTAACCTTTTTTTTTTACTTCAGCTTTCTTAAATAATAAATGATTTTGAGCAAAGATTTTATTTTGGTGTCTTTTAGAGTGCCTTTTAAGTGTATAACTAGCAAAAAAAAAAAGATTATAAAAACTACGCACATATTTTTAGAGCCATGTTTGCTTTGAACATTAGGTCACCTTCAGCTCACCTTCACATGATCCTTCATTAGTTATTATTATTATTATTATTATTATTATTATTATAAATGATAATAGTAATTAAAGCAATAATAACGAGTAATATTTTCATTTGAAACTACACACAATAAGTAATAAATAAATATTTAATAAGTATTTAACATTTTTTTACATGTAATAAATGCTGCCTTGATGAACACATACACAATGAACAAAATATTAAATAAAACTTATAATAAAAAACTCCTGTAGTGTAAATAAATATATAATAAAAAACTCCTGTAGTGTAAATAAATATATTTCTAAAAAGGTTTTGTTTGTGTTTTTCATAACAATAAATAAACTTTTTATTTTACTTGAATTGTCCTAAATAACATGCATTATATCACTTTTAGTTCAGGCCTCAATTAATAATTTTATCGAAGGGAACTATTTGGTATCACCCAATTAAAATCTTGTAAATTCAATATAAATAAATAAAGATATTTCTAAAAAGGTATTGCTTGGGTTATTCATTACAATAAGCAAACTTCTACAACTTTATAATTTCACTTTTTATTTTACTTTAACCTTCATTGTTGGCAGATTAATGTTCAAGTTCAGAAAGTGTTTAACAAGCAAAACATAGATTTTAAATACTGCACAAATATATTACAAAACCATTAAATCAAATAAAATTACAAAATATTAAAGTAATTACATTAAAATAAATTATGTTAAATTATATTAGATTAAAATAAAGATACATGAACAGCACCAGAGGAATAAAGCCATGCTACATGACAAAATGCAATTCTGAAGGTTGGTGTAGTTTGAACCCCAGATGAGTCTGGATGATTTTTCTAAATCTATTAGAGCTTGATATTCAGACAGGTTTGGAGGGTTTGTAAATGATCACCTGTCATGTTCATGTTCATCATTTGAAGTCCTGAGTTTTTTTCCCTCTAACATTCCTCTTTTCCTCTCCATCCTCCAGACTGGCAGAAGACAGAGGCCCAGAAGCGGCGAGAGCAGCTGCTGCTGGATGAGCTGGTCATTCTAGTCAACAAACGAGATGCGCTGGTCCGAGACCTGGACGCCCAGGAGAAAGAGTGAGTCTCCTTGCCGCAAGGCACTGTGGGATTGTGGGACAGAATTAGGCCCAATAGTGTTGTTCCGAGAGGGTTTTAAACGCCACAGATTGCAGTCACCCACATCTCTTTGCCACAGAGTGTGTTTAGGTGGAGTCAGGACTTGTGAGAATTTCAGGAGTCAAAGTGAGCCTTCAGCCAGAGTTCAGGTCATAGGTACTGAAGGTGCATCTGCTGTTCTCATGCTTCTCCATCAATGACCTCTGATCCAGTGTGTGTGTGTGTGTGTGTGTGTGTGTGTGTGTGTGTGTGTGTCGGCAGGGCTGAAGAGGAAGACGAACACCTGGAGAGAACCCTGGAACAGAACAAAGGCAAGATGGCAAAGAAAGAGGAGAAGTGCGTCCTTCAGTGACGATCATTCCTAAGCAGAGGAAGAGCGAGATGACATGTACACTACAAAGTCTTGAAATGTATTGGTGTCATAGAGACCACAGCATACACTTTATTATTGTTCTTTTAAATCTTATGTAGATCTTTTTTGTTATGGCTAAGGGACGGAGAACTGATAAACGCCCTGAGATGCATCCTGTTTCCCAGATTTATCGTTTCGCATACAAAAATACAAAACTGTTGTTATTGTTAGGTTTGGTTTGTTGGTTTTCACAAACAAGGTACTTAAGGAGCTAAAACTCCAGGAGATGCAAAGAAAACTTTGACTAAATGGTGAAATGTGTTGTAATTCAGATGAATCTGAACACTGAGACATTCACAGCCTTCGGAATGTATTTCTCTTTTTTTCTTGCAGGAAATTATAAGTCACTTTCAGTGCAGCACATAAACTGAGGACATTTTCTGTTTGTGAATAGGATTGGGTTTCAAAATCATATCACATTTCGCTTTTAGGAAAATCTATCAACATGTTCTCTAACAAGAGCTGAAATGTTTGAAATGCTCAACTTTCTACATATCCGAGAAGGGGACTTGTTGCTTTTAGAAAGTGTGTTTTACTGGCTTTTTATGTTTAATATGTTTACCAAACATTTTACAGCTTGCATTAGGGAGAAGGGTGAAATACTGCGAGTGCTTATACTGAAATAATCGGTCATGTTGTACATTTCACTGTTTGAGGCTTAAAAACAACTTTATTTTCAGTCACGATCAGAATAATTTATTACTGTTTGCTTTTATTACTGTTTGAGACGTTTTTAAAGTAACCATCTTCACAATCCTGTACATTTTGCTCATGGACTTTGTTAATATTTATTGTATAGTTAGAAGGGAAGCTCTTCTTGTCGGCATATTTTCCGTTTCTCATCTTGATTGTACGAGCATCACCGGTTTATTTATTCCACTGTACTTTAAGTTTCACTGTTCAATAAAAATCAAATGATTTCATACTCTGATCAAACAGAAGTGCGTGTGCTTTTGAGTCTTGCTAATAGATGTGGCCTTGTTTCTCTAAACCAAATTGTTATTAAGCAGATATGGAAATGCAGAATTTTAATTGTAAAACCCGTGTATTTAATCCCCTCGTTTAGCTATATTTTGTTCGATGTTGTTTAATTTCTTAGTGATTAATTTGATATATTTTATTTTCACATAGATTTGCTTGCATATTTGGCCTAATGGTTTAATAATAATAATTCCCGCTAATTGTGTTTTTTCTCTCTCGAATTATAAGGTTGCATTAAAGCATTATGATCTCCCTCTTTGACCAAACATAACAGACGATCTTTTTTATTATCCATTAATAAAACAATTCACAGACACTCGAGAGACATCCTGCGAAAATTCCCCAGCGCTTTACTGTTATTTCTAAATGAATGTTTGCGTTTTGTTTTGTCTGGGGTCGTTCCTCAGAGGGAGATTAAGGCAGAATCACTCTGTCCAAAGCATCTGTTTTGCCCCAGACACTTCTTTCTCAGCCAAACACTGCAGCCTCGCATCCTCCATTTAACGAGCAAAATAAGTTTTGACAGTTGACGTCCTCCCGTAGCCCTTCTGATACTTTCCCATTAATTTGCTGATGGTTGGTTCCGACTGTACATCCGTTTCCCCCCGGGCGTTTTTTTATTTATTATTTTGCAGTTATAACAGATGACTGTAATCTTCTGAATGTGAGACACTTATTGGCGCTCACAAACAATTACACGGCGGCAGAAAAGGACATTCGTTTGTTGCCTTTACTAATCGGAGAGTTTGAGCATGTGGGAGGCTTGAAAACGCATGTCATAATTTTATGCATTAGACCTGTGGCGAGCTCCGTGTAATCCCGATGAGACGGTAGCGTGGTGTTCATATCTAAATGACCGCTTTGAACTGTTCTGAAGTCCATTCAGATGCCTAATTTTATACGTGTGTTTGTATACATGCAATTTGTGTTGGAGTGGAATGGTAATATTATATGTAAAATAGCCTTTATCTTTTTATTTTCATGTGTCCTTTATTAGCGCTTACATTATGATTTTAGTGGGCAAACATTAAAAACAGTTTCGTAATTTTTTTTACATTGCAGAATTACAATTTAGTTTTTTTTTAACAACGCATTTACCAAATGTTTAGATATAAAATGCATATGTCTATATTTCACCAAAAACACAAAGTAAAAAAAACATCTAATCTGAATTTTTCTAGTTCACAAACTCACATGCAGTGTCAATGTCAAGATGCAGTTTACATACCTGATTGTTGTTCTTTTTGTTGCCAACTATTGTTTTCCAGCTTAAACCAGTAGTGGTAAAAAGTGACTTCTTTTAAATAGATTGTTTATCACATAATAAAACTCTCCAAACGGCGTGGCAAAGAGAAGTGGAGCATCTCAGCGCGGGCGGAGAAGCGCGATCTGTGGCTCTTGCTTTGAAGTCCACGGCCTGACTTCAGGTGCTGAACAGTTCGACTTCACCAAAGCCCTTCGACCGCCGAAAATCCTTCCTTCGTGGTAAAATACGCCGGTACCGAGCCTTCTGCGTGAGCTTCAATATCGAATTTTATGCATCATCGTTTTAATAAGGACCGACAACATCGCCGACCCGCTCCCATCCTGCCGGCTAAAGAAACCAAACTTTTCCCCCTCCTCTTCTCGCCTCCTCTAATCCCAAGATTTACGAGCTCAGCATTTAGAAAATTCGACTGCAATTTGGGATTAGACAAAATACTCTTATTACAAAAGCTTCTTGCAACCTGATAACTTGATACTTGTTCTGGGTTTATCACGGGGTCTTAGCAACATCGGGGCCCAGAGTAAACCAGCAAAATGCAGGAATTGTTATATATTTCTGTTATGTTCGTTTGAGGATAACGTTTTTGTTGTTATTATTATTATCCTTGGAAACAGTTTAAGGGCATGTGTAATTTGTCTTTTTTAAGCGTGGGCTGAAGGCACTAGCGCTTTAAACAGGCAGGATAAACATTTAATATGCGCATTCCCTGTCCCCCTTCTGAAGCAGTATCCAATAACTTTCCCTTTAGTTTTTCCGCGTCTATTGACAGCTAACAGCAGCATCTCTGCTACTCCCAAGAGCACTTTTGTCGATGACATTGTTGATCTATTGAAGAACGTGTAAAGCCGGCCGGCCGGCGTTTGATTGGATGCCCCATATAGTAAAAAATGTAATTTCGTTCCTCCGGCGGTCACTTGCTTTGAACATTAGGTCGCTTTCAGCTCAGGCCTCAATTAGAATGAGTTGATTTTGTGAGATCAACAAAAGGACCGAGCGAAGCCTTATTAAGATCTTCTGAGCCTTTCAGAAACAGTTAAGGAAACACCGCGCCCTCCGTGATATTCTGTTACCGTATTTTATTGGCATTTCTTTGGGAAAGTGAGGCTTGAAAGGTGCTTTCTTTGATTCTCTGAGGCTCAGACTCTCTCTATGTGCTGATTTCGTTTCTTTTCTGGAAGGGCCGAGTTTTTCTTCACTCCTTTTCACGTTTCCTCTCCGTCTGCCTATTAAACTTTACGCACACTATTCTGAAATGTAATTCTAAGTGGGGATTAGCCACTCATTAATATTCATGAGGTGGGGTAACAATAAAAATGAAAATAGATAAAGTGGATAAATTAAACTTTTTTTAGCTGCATTTTCAAATCGATGCACTGCATGAACCGATCGCTTATACGGCACTCTTAAATTCTTAATGAAACCTTACTTTGTGAATTTGTGGTGGGCTTTTTTGAGATGTGATCTATATTTCACTAAAGGCCTTACTGCACTTAAATCTTTTTAATGCTTGATTATTGGACAGGTTTAATTATATGCTGTTAAACTTTTTAATCGATTTTGGTAAATTTGGTTTTGGTTAACCGAAATAGATACATTAATAGCCACACATTTCTTTTCGAAACGTGTCCTCCTTTCTTCTACCAAATGAAATAGCGTAGCCTACACTTCAAGACGCAGAAACGGTTATAGTCGTTAAATTACAACAGATTAAATTTAACACGATTTTTTAATCGGTGTTTCGATCTAAATCTCAATTGTTTGGTCTTTCGGGCAGGCTAAATGCTGTCATTTAAAATTGTTTGAATATTTTTAATACTCCTACCTTAATTTCAAAATGATTAGTGCACGAAAATCCCGGGTTCTAATATATTTTCCATGTCCTCGTTTTTAGGAAACCTTTAACAGTATTGTCTGCACTTTTCTTCCTATTTTAGGTCTTCTGGAAATTCTAAAAGATTTATTTGGTCAGTGCGTGTTCTTGATGTCTTTAGTCGGCGGAGGTGGGCCTTCGCTGATGTTCTACCTGTGGATTGGTTGCTACCGTTGTCAATCAAGCAGAGCTTGCGCGGCGATTGGCTGGAGTGGGCGGACCGGCAGGTGTCCTACGCTCTTAGAGAGGCAGGGTTAGGAGAAGGTGATCAATCTCCATCCGTCTACATTAGCAATCACCTTAAACTAGTGACAGACACGAACGAGAAAGCCAAGCAAATGATTTTGATGTATTTGCTTCTAAACCCCGGGAACACACTCTGAATAGACTACAGCAAGTCCAGCTAAAGGCCAGGCACGTGCGTCATACCAACATTGCTGTGTATCTGCAGTTTTGAGGAGAGTTTTAGACGACATTTATTTCCTGAGGTTTTTCCTGCCGATTTGACTTCCTGAAGCCTTCCACTGCTGGATATTTTTATCTTCAGCTCAGACTACAAAATTCCAGAGGAGAAGGACGGAGTGTTTTGGGGAGAAAAAAAGGTAATAAAAAAAACATAAGTGCGCCTTTGCATTATTTTGTTTTATAGTTGGGATTCGGCACTCAAAAACGGAGCTAATGAAAGTTTCGTTCAGCGTTGAAATTTTTTGTCTTTATTTAAAAGCATTAATTGATTAATTAATTCTCTATTTAGATAGCCTAAATGTGGCTGTTTTGTAAGAATTGTGTAAAAGTGTTTGTGTTGTTCTATTATCTCGACCGACGTCAGTGTTGATTTTAAGTTACGTAGTAAAGTCTGATCAATGTCACAGTCACTTAGAAGCTAATGTTTTAAAAATGAATTGCATCTTAGAATAGCGACCATTACGTTTGAAACGAACACGAGTAGATTTGCAAAGCTCAAGTCATCGCCGCAGTGTAAACCTGCTCACTTTGAGAGTAATTGGAGAGGCGTGTTTTGGTTTTTGTTAATTTATTTTGGTGATAAGGCCAAGAAATGAAGGTGTTTCCCCAGAGGTCTAATCTGCATTGTAATTGAGTTAATTTGCACGTAGATGTGTTCTTTCTAGCCAGTCTTTACATAGTAAAGAATAAGCAAGGAATAGGTTGGAATACACAGAACTCTAAACGGTTCGGTCATCTCAGCACGGGGCCCATCCACATTCATTTCCACTAGATAACTACTTAGCTCTTCAATTTGGTTAAAAATGGAATGGCAAACTAAAGAAAACGTCGCGTTTATGAACAGAAACGTGTTAAAATATTTTTAACAGGACCAAACTGACAATAATATGGTTAAACATTTTTTTAATCGAAGCAGCATGGGCTAACTCATTCTTTAGCTATTTATTTCGAGAGTTTTTAGGTTGTTCTGTTGTTTAAACGTTTAAATAAATTCGTTGGAGTTACATTGAAGAATAAAAATTATTACTTGCATTATAAGATTAAATTTAAAGCTAAATGTAGTGTGACCCTTGTTTACATTGACAATGTTTATTAGGTCTGGATGTTTTGTAATTTTTCCGAAAAGAAGTTTACTTAAAAATCGCAGATTTGCTCGTATATACATTTTGAATGGACAGGTTTCTGCTGAACCGTATTTAAAAAAAAACTATAACTCATCTGGCTACTATTCGTTACCAAAAACTAATGGAAATAATAATAGTTAATAGCAAAAACTTTTTTAAAGCTTTTCTTTTATTATTTTAGGTTGACTAATTTAGTCTAAACTTTTTTGTTTTGAATATTATCTGAAATTATGAATTGAAGAAACAATTAAATGACAAGAATTATCCCAAATGTTTAAAATGAATAATTACGTTTTTTTAATTCGCGTCAGTCATCCTACCATCATAATGCTGCTATTATTATAATTTTATTGATTTAAAATAGTGAAAATATAATTTGTTTTTATTGGTGTTGTTATTAATATTATATATATATATATATATATATATATATATATATATATATATATATATATATATATATATATCATGATCATCATTAAAAGTAATAGTAATTCCCCGCTTGATTTTAAAACCAAAAAAAGCAGTTCGGTTGTCTTCCAATCATTTATACTTTCTTTTCGTTTAATTATTTTGCAGAGAAGCCTGTTGAAAAACTACTCCGCTGTTCTTGTATTTAGAATCCTTTACATTTCATTTCGTACTTAAGTTTCCTTTATTAGGCATTGAAGCTGTTGTTGTAATAATAATTATTTATTCATTTTTGTTTACAATTACATTACAGTAATATAAATTGGGTCCGTCCTTCGTCAAACTGCAACATCGGGGGAAATCGAACTATTGGCAAGATCTGGGGGGACCCGTGACTGCCTCTAGCATGATGTCATACCTCAAACAGCCCCCCTACGCCATGAACGGCCTGGGGCTGAGCGGCGCGGCCATGGACCTACTACACCCGTCCGTCGGATACCCAGGTAGGCCTACATGCAAAACGAGTTTTACGTTCATCATCAACTGTTAGCACCATTAAATATCAGGCCATGAATGCCGACTGTCTTTTCCTTTATTCTAAGCGGTTTCAGTTACTTAAGTAGCCTAAATAAAACCTTTATTCTTAACCTTGTCTGATGTGCCTCTTTTCAATGTTTAAACAACTTATTAAATCTGTTTATTGTATCATTTCAAATGAACGCGTAAGTGAAAGAATTTACAAAAGATAGCTCTAAAATAGTTAAAACCGCAGAGGGTGTGCAGGTTCAGAAAATGTCCAAGCCATTAAATTACACCCTATCAGATATTGTTTTTCAGACACTGTTGTTGTTGTTATTATTATTATTGTGTAAACTATTTTATGACTTTTTTAAAATAGTATAACTTCTTTTTGCAGCAACACCGAGAAAGCAGCGGCGGGAGAGGACTACATTTACGCGCTCACAGCTTGACATTCTCGAAGCGCTCTTTGCCAAAACTCGTTATCCGGACATATTTATGAGAGAGGAGGTGGCACTGAAGATCAACCTTCCCGAGTCCCGAGTTCAGGTAGGCTATATGTTAATGTTACATGTACGAAAATAAGTTTCAAATGGTTTTCTTTGGATGGAAAAAACACAAGTATGGCAACTTTCCAAAATATTCGTTAAATTCGCTATGCTCAGCTGCTCCCCCTATTGATTTTCGTAGAAAATCGTAGTGATTTGTATTAATGCTTGCAATTATTATTGTCAGACTCCAGGTGTGTGTATCTGACAACCTGGTTATACAACTAATACAGAACAAGGGTTAATTGTCAGGTGATTTCTTCTCTCTTTCTGTATTTGATTTTGGAAACACATGTTTGGATTATGTAGCATGAAATATTTTAATAATTATGTTTCAATAACTTATACTATCTAAAGTAGAATTGAGCTTTTTTTAGCATAATGAATTAATTTCCTGCACTAAACAAATGTTTACATCTAGACATAGTTGTTTCCCAAATGACCACTGTGCTAAAAGTTCACTCTTCCTTAAACTTGACGTAAATATCAGGGATGAGAAATCTCCCACAGTCCACTGTGGATTTTTCATGCAAATAATGCTTTTTCTGAAGTGATTCAAGGCCTAAAGGAGCAGCCCTCTGTCAATTTCCCAAGCAATTTTATTTGCTCTTAATAAGCACATGAAACAAAACGCTTTACACGGTCAGACCCTCCTTCCACTATTGAATTACCATCTCTGCGGAGAAACTCAATAGGCTGCTATCACCCAGCCGTCTACAAGCACTGAAATTAGATCCACACAGTAAAGTAGAAAGACCCTGCATGCAAAATAAAGCCAGGAACTGCTAATAACTAGCTATTTTCCACTCTGATATTGCACAATGGCTCTCCAACATGTCCTTCAGACATGCACGGAAGGTCTTCATAATCATTTAATAGCCGTGTGTGTGTGTGTGTGTGTGTGTGTGCGTGTGTGTGTGTTGCACTCTGTGCTATCATATTTTCATGAATATCTATTTTTAAAAGCATTGTTCAAACATAATTTGCTAGCAGATTTTTAAGTGTTTGTTTCCTCTCCAACATGCAGGTGTGGTTTAAGAATCGTCGTGCTAAATGTCGTCAGCAGCAGCAGAGTGGCAGCAGCACGAAAACTCGGCCTGCAAAGAAGAAATCCTCACCCACCAGGGAGAGCACAGGCTCTGAGAGCAGCGGCCAGTTCACCCCTCCTGCAGTCTCCAGCGCTGGCTCCTCGTCCTCCTCCTCTTCCTCCACCAATAACACAGGCATCAGTAGCACCTCTACCTCTATCAGTACTGTCTCCTCAATCTGGAGCCCTGCCATTTCTCCAGGCTCAGCACCCCCATCTGTGTCCCTGCCGGAGCCTGTCGCTCCCTCAAACACCTCCTGCATGCAGCGTTCCGTCTCAGGCACAGCCAGCTCCACCTACCCCATGCCCTACAACCAGACCACCGGCTACAGCCAGGGCTACCCGACTCCGTCCGGTTCTTACTTCAGTGGGGTGGACTGTGGGTCCTATCTGGCCCCCATGCACTCTCACCACCACCCTCATCAGCTCAGCCCCATGACGGCCTCATCCATGCCCACACACCCCCATCACCACATCAGCCAGTCCTCAGGACACCACCACCACCATCACCACCAGGCCTACAGTGGCACGGGGCTGGCCTTCAATTCCTCTGACTGCCTGGATTACAAGGAGCAAACGGCCTCCTCCTGGAAGCTCAACTTCAACACTACAGACTGTTTGGACTACAAAGACCAAGCGTCCTGGAGGTTCCAAGTCTTGTGATCTGATTTTTTTTCTTTCCAATAAGCCCTCCATTTTCACCATCTCTCTGTTTTAATAGTGTGCTGAGTTTAAGGAATAAATATATATGGACTTGCAGATTTTAACAAAATAGTTAGATGTTCGTCACATTTTTAAAAGTGAGCCCCCTTTTTTAAAGAGGAAAGAACGCAGAAAATGGCAAAGTCGCAAAGGGAAATGAA